CTATTAATCAATAATATGTGTGTAATTTAATATATATATAAATAAACAAGACTTATAAATCCCTATTTAACAATTAAAGTGTCAGATTATTGTTGGATTCATTTCAAAATTAAAATCCAGAGTTCTAATATTTCTCTCTCTCTCTCTCTTCTTCTCTTACATGTCTATTAATAAATCTGACTTGGAAAAGATTCTAAAAAGAATTTAAAAAGCGCTTTAATTTAAACCCGTGCCTTTTACAATCAGGTGCAGCGTGTTGATCGCGTGAAAATTTTACGTTTAACAAAATGTGAATAATGATCGCGAATAGGGTGCTGCGGAAATTCTAATGCGCGTTTAAAATGCCCTCTTTTGTGTCTTGAAACGAGAATGTAACTACACATGTAACTAAGAGGTTTCCTCATATCGGACTGCTATATAATACATACATGTCGCAGTTCTCGAGCTTGATTATCCCGATGGAGATCCGTATCTGGTGGTAATTAGGCGTCTAATTAAACCGGTTAATTAATCACTAAGCGCGTATGTAACACGGACTGTAGCACGGATATGATGATCTTATGCAAATATTCATTCGACAAAATGTCTATTAAATGTCATTGTTATATAAAATGTATATACATAAATTATAAAATATTGATAAAGATGGAAAGAATATTAAAAATTAAAAATATATTTTCAACTTTAAATTTCGGATATTAAATATATCCATTATTTTCGTGTATTAATTGTTTCTTCTTGTAATGAAATTTATATTATAGACTGCCTCCTCGTTTCGTTAATTTATATATGACCGAATATATAATGACAATTATAGATAATTATTAATATCATACAATCACATATTTTATGCGCGTTTAAAATAAAAAATTTAATGTTCGTCATGTCACGTTTAAAATTAATCAAATGATGATTCAGAAACTCACTCATGCTCGAAACTGCGAAAAACCTGGCGTCGTTCGCCAATGTTCGATTAGCGGAAGTCGCTCGTTGTGTTTTTATCTCTCAGTCTACTGAAAGAACAATCGACAATAATGCCTTTATCCGTTCGACCTGGCGTCGATCCGGCAAACTCTCTTTTTCGTTGGTAGGCACATGTCTCATCATCAATGGACCCCTGTCTTTCTTACGTTTATTGACCACTTGCATTCCTTCCCATAATAGAGGAAGAACAGTTTCTACTCAAGACCATTGCAGTTGATTTATTCAAACGTATGAATCAAAAGTATAAATAGAGAGAGAGAAGATATTAATATATAAATTATTAAATATGATATCGATTCATATGTGTGTTACCAATTAAAATATTTCGCAAGTTTTTCATTTTGCACAGCGCTTATTATATTGTCTATATATTTTTTTTTACATTATATCAATCGCGAGAAAAATATTTCAACATAAGCAATAAGTAAATAAAATTACTGATTGAAAAAATTGATAATTTTTATGAGAAAAGATTATTTACATGCATTTCCAAATTTAAAATCACTTATATATTTACTTGTATATTTTAAGTTCAATTTATGTAGGAAATCGTTTACGTCATGCAAACAATGAAAAAAGATGAGGAAGATACATTAAGTTCTAAGCGCAGGTTAATTAGAAAAACGTACGTGTTCATTATCGATGTGGGCGACAACTGCACTGGCTAATCGGTACGGCTGCTACGATTTTATTGGGCAATCAACATCGATTTATAAATACAATACGTAACTCGCAAAAAGACAGTTTCGTTATATTCTAATATTTTATCTGGCTGTATAGAATGTCCCAGGTAATATCATAATCTTTCATTCTTTATAAAAATGTTCATAAAGTTTCTATTTTTTTAATTTTCTACAATATTGAATTTTAATATTTTTATAAGTTTTTTAATTTTCTACAATATTGAATTTTAATATTTTTAGAAGTTTTAGATAATGTAATAATTAAAATATTAATTAAAATATTTTATGTTGAAATGTAAAACATACTTAAAAAATTGTACAAAGTATAACGTTTGCATGAACATTTAAAACCTAATTTTAATAAAATTCTTAAGTTTTTTCATTATCTATAATTAGAAAATTTGGTATTGTATTTATAATAAAGAAATTTTTTCCTGTTGGTTTATAAATCTTTGTAGAAAAATATATGCGGAAAATTTGTAAAACTGTATGATAAATAAATAAATAATAAAAATTATTTCTTAGCTAACCGGACTCTTTCTTATCTAAAATATAATTGCTGAGATATTTAATGCAAATTTAAAAAATTTTCATCATACAATATAATTTTCTAAAAATATTTTCGTAGAATTTTCTACAGAAAGATCAATCACTGACTTCAAGAATATTTTCTTTAGATCTGGGACATTCTGCAGAAATAGATTGGATCACCATACATATGTAATATTAATGTATGCATCTTTCATTAAAATGTTTATATATGTCTCGAGATTTGATTGCGAAGTAGAGCGGAACGCATCAAATAAAACGAACGCTAAAGGGTTGAGAAATCTCGATTATTGAGCCGGAAGTGCGTCAAGCAATGAAAAATTAGCCGCCATCGCACTCGCAATAATCCAGAATTCCGTCAACGATAAGACGATCTGACAGATGACGTCCTCTTTGTTGCTCGGCGTCGTCGTTATCGCGACGGATGATTTGATTTCTCGGTCGATTTCTTATTTTGCTTCCTCATATTCCGCGTAAATACAGCGCCCGCCACCGCTCGCAATAATTTATCTGTTTTTCATTCCACGATCGACGCGAAATTTTCCACTCTCTCTGATGGAGGCTGCAACTGCTCCTCCGATACAAATAATGGAACGTGATAATAGTTTTGTCGATGAACTCACGTCACACGAACTGCAGCTTGAAATATCTTCGTTTATCGTGAGAAATTATTTTTAATTGATAATTATTCTCAGCGAGCAACAATATTAATATTAAATTAAATTAATGTATCTAAACAAGGTATATATTACGAAAATATTGTTTGGAAAAATAATAAAACACGCCGTGGATACAATTTAAAAATATCTTATAGCAATTAAATTAAACGCATATACTCGAATTACGTTGTTAAAAACAACATGTACATTATAAATTTTGGCAGATATTTATGTCACATGTGTAAATTTGGAAATTATGAAATTCAAGAGAGAGAAAAGCGAGTGAAGCAGGAATCGAGTCCCAGAGGGTCGATCCGGATTTTCATACCGAAGGAACCTCTTCCACACACGAGGGACTATTAAATTTATGGTTCTCCCTTCGTCGAAGGGGGAGACGATAACATGCATAATAAGCGCGCCCAGATAACGGGTGACGCATAAGTTACGGTCTCGCGATAAACGAGGCCCATGCATACCGTGGAAGGTTACTCTCGATGGTCGATGGTCAAAGGGCTATGGAGGTGCACCCAGAAAACTCTTTCGAAACTTTTATATCGCGCTAAGATTAAATAGGTCTCAGATGCATTCACACAAATAGACGATGTTTCACGTTCAGTTAAAATATAAAACATTCGTGTTAGAATTAATTTAATATATAATAGTAATAAATTAATATATAATTATATATATTTAATTCTAATAAAGCGCAATTTTTCACTTGTACATGGAAGTATTTGAGAAAGTGTTTATTTTATTGTTTAGTTTATTTTATCTTTGTAAGTCAAAATTATGAATCAATTTTGGATAGAAAAAGATATAATTAATTATTATCAATAAATATATTATTTGAATCGATAATTCAATTTTGTATAAACACGTACAAAAAATAAAATATTTAATAAACTATACGTTTCATTTTAACTATCATCTATCTACATTTAATATCAGTTGCTTTCGAGAATGAGAACATTAATATTGCATTCGATTTGCAATTTATCTTATCGAAGCATATATATCTAAGAAAAATATTCTCTCGCTTAATTTACTATATGAATTATCAGTTTCATTCGTGTTTTTCGCGAACTCCGCAAAGGAATGTGTCAATATAATTTCTCATGCCGCATGCGAATGTCGAGATACACTGAGCAATTATTATTCATATGTAACGACAAAGCTGTATGATGCCGATTGATCCGGAAGCTTTGCGATATATTCAAGCCGCGAAAGATAATTTTTTTTTTATTTTTATGATTTTGACGCAATCTACTAGAGACTTTGTGCTCGCTAATCTCATCTTCGTTATAAAAATAATATTGAATATCATAATAAAAGTGTTAAATTTCCGTCGTAAAAGTTGCATACTTAAATTTTGAAAGATTTGCTCAGAAAGATTTGCTGTCAAAATATGACGATCTTATATCACAATATTTAAAAAATCGTTAATTGTTAAATATTCGACGTAGGATTATTTTAATCAAAGCAATTCTTCCTCTGTTAATTTTTTAAAATTAACATAAAATTAATTATTAAATCGATAGATACATTTGGGAGAGAAAATAGCTGTAATATCACATATCTTTTTTCATTGATTGTTAATGTCTTCATTCGATGCAGCTAATACGTGGTTTCCTCGCGAAAAAAAGAGCGAGCAGATTATCGACGACGACAATATCGAATTAGATATGTATCGGGGTGAAATTCATGGGTGTCTCGTCGCACATCTTAATCGCGGAAGCCAAGTATGCAACTCTCTCTTTGTCTCTCTCTCTCTCCCTCTTTCCTTAGACGAGGTCGGTGTCTTCACGAAGGCGCTTATCTTCATTCGCTATTGGAAACTATCGGGATAGAGGCGAGTCTGACTCGCCGAGCGATCCTGAAAAACGCGACCTGCTTTCCTCTCCCGCTGCCACCCCTATCCCTTCCTCCTTATCTCTCGTAGGTCTTCGTCTTCCGCCACGCGATTTATCTCGGAGCCCGTTTCACCGGTTTCCGCTCTCTTATCCGCTAATTTATTTCCCGTATCTCTTGAAATCTTAATATAATGACGCGAGTCCAATCTCGCGTGAGTGTGATTAAGACGGTGGCACAAGGTATGTATGCGTAGAGAAAATCGGAGAGCACTTACCTTACGGATTTCTGCGAATGTCTGTCACCTCAGGCGAATTGGCACGTTCCCGCCGCCATCGTCAACGGGCACTTCCGCCTCCTCTTCGGCCGCGCGTCCGCCGCGCTACCACGTGCTCCGCAGGATGCCGCTGAAACAATTGACACGTGATAATTAGAATGATTCAGGAAAATTGCATATGAGTCTGCAGACTTTTATAATGTAAGACAAATCATTAGAGTTGATTAGAGCGTAAAAAGCGAGTAATAAATGTGTCACTATATGAAATATGATATTTTTTCTATTACAAAATGTATATGTATATTTTTCTATCACACATATCCGTAAAAGATTGTAATATGTGATTTTTATATATATATATATATATATATATATATATATATATATAGAGAGAGAGAGAGAGAGAGAGAGAGAGAGAGAGAGAGAATTTGGTATTATAATATAGCTCACACACAGTAGTTGACAAATGTCGTAATTACGAGAACCGTGAGGAGAGCGATAAGCGAGATCATATATCATTTATCTCAAATCTAGTTATCATTCAGTGGTTACGAGAGATAAATGTCGGCAATGAATTTGCCTTTTCGATACTTTTATAGTTTGATATGTACGTATCGATAATATACTTATCACTGGTTATTTGCTTCAGAAAAACCAAGCGTGCCTTTTTTTATCTTGACATTTATATATTACTTTAATTACGAAAGTTTCGTTTTATTCGAGGACTTGAAAAATTAACAATTCCGAGAATCTCATAATGATATATTACATTTATAATAGAATTTTATACATTTCTCAAAGATGATGCAGCTACCTTAAAATGTCGGCAGATGCAAATTGCAATATGTTAATTTGCTTAACTTTGCTTAACTTTTTATTTAGATAATTTTCGTTGATAACTTTTCGATCGAAAAAATCAGCGTCAAACATCTTAATGATTTAATTTTATCAATATTAATGTATTGTGTTTCTTCCGATTAACTTTATATACGCGCATTTTGTTATATCAGTTATGTTATTGAATATTCAGTTGTAATAATCATATATCTTATAAATTCAGTTTTTTTATTATTAGAGTTAGGTATACATAAATAAATGCAATATTTTTTTCTATATATAGCAATTTTGTAATCAATATACAGGGTGTATCTGAAATGATGCACTAAACTTTAGGAGCATATTCTAGAGGTCAAAATAATTTTTTTTCCTTATGAACATGGGTCCGCAAATGAACCCCCCTCCGAGCTAAAGACCCCTAAAGTTTGGGGGAAAAATTAAAAATTGGCTGTATTTCAGAAAAAAAAGATTTTGACATTACCTATCACTCTTTCTTGAGAAATAAATTTGCGTTGTGGATGTTTGGTCAATTTCACACATTTTCGAATTTTAGTTGTATATTTAATTATTTTTAGCTTTTTTGAATTTTGTTTTGAATAATAAATAGACGCCTGACTTACGAAACGACTTTACGTGTCAATTTGAATAGCATTATTTCATCTCTATCAGCAGGATAATAAATTCAAACTATTGTTTACTTCGGGAAAGTGAATTTCGTTTTAAGGAATTAAGCGACTTCTTAACGCAAAGAAATTTGCCTAAAGTAGTTTGACTTAGTGAAAATGCGACTGGAATTACCGGTAGAATATTCAATACATGAAAATTGTAATATAGGTTTTGTTTTACCGTTAAATGACGATGGCTTACTAAAAGTTGTGGATAAGAATGCATTTCGCAATTTTTAAACGCTCGTGTTTTCTTATCCACAACTTATGGCTAAGAGATAAAGCATTACGATACGGCGAAAATCTAACCACGACAATTCGTAGCCTGCAAAAAAGCACGTTTTTACAAAACATCGATTCCAGAAAACGACTGCAAATGTATATTATTGTAAAAAGATACAAGTTCGTCAATGACATTCACTAACTTCAAAAAGATTACCTCAGATTATTTGAGATTACCTTAAGACTACCTAGAATTATCTACAGATTATTTGATATTATCCTTACTTAGATTACTTAGATTTCCTATTAGATTACTCAAGATTATCTGAGAATGCTAAAGATTATTTAGAGTTACCAAAAATTACCTTAGATTACCCAAAATTTCCTTTGGATTACCGCTGAATTATCTAGCCCTTGTACAGAAATTACCTCAGTGACCAACCCCTCGGAAAAAAGTTTTATTTTGACCTTTAAAATACGCTCCTAAAGTTTATGTATAATATATTTCTCTAAAGAAATCTATTTGTATATAATATTTTAGATAAATATAAATATCATTTTTACAATAGTAAATATGCTACGTATAAGTAACATATGTTAAAACAAAAAATTATGAAAAATTCAAATATTTAGGAATCAAAGCACTTATTAATTCGAACCTTCTTGCATGTGTAAATATCCTAATTAATATGTAAATAAGTATGCTAATTAAATTTCTTCTGAATTTTTACTGTTAAGGAAATCGTAAATTTCTCAAAATATTCTCGTGTCAAAAGTCGCAAGCTGCACTTGAGATTGTTTGGTTTCCTTTATTTTATCATGGGGAATCGTTGAAATCGCTTTAAATCTTTCGTTTTATATCGTATCTTGTTCGTCCACCTGGTGAAGCTTGTTGTTTTTCACACAAGAATCAATTTCACGTTAATTATTCTACGTAATTTTCATATAATGCTTCAATTGCTGATTCAATAAAAAACATTTTATTTATACTGCAGAATCTGTCGAAGAGGTCTTGGTCTATACAAGGATTGCTTATATCGGGTGTTCGAATAAAACTCGGCAGTAAAGGATAAGCAACAGAACGACGCGGCGATTGAATTTGCATACAGTGGCCGCAACCGACTGTCGAGATTTGCCGCTGTAATATTTATGAGAGACAACTTCCTTCAATTGTTTGTAAGCAGCTACGTATAAGTAACATCGTCATTGTACGCTCACTGTAATCGTAGTGATCGTTTCGTATAAAAATTGTCGCAGAGAAAATTAGTTTTAAAACGCGATCAAAATCTAATAATTTTAAAAATATGAAGACATCTCGTAAATTATTCTGGCCAAAAACATGATAGAATTAAAACTAGAAATCAGATTTTTCGGATTAAATTGAAAATGTAAATAAAATGTAAGGGAAACATATTACATATCATAAAAAATATTTACTAATGAAATTACATAATATTATTTTTTTTTCTTTTCTTAATTTAAATGATATAAAAGTTTTATTTTTTTTTCTTTTCTTAATTTAAATGATATAAAAGATTAAAAATTATAGGATTGCTAGTAGTTTTACGTTTTAAAAATGTAAAAATTTTCGCATAAAAAAAATCGACTGTATATTATATTATATTAAACTGTATTATAATCAACAATTCTGACATAATATTGCTGATAAGAAACGTGTGATGCCGAATGTAGTAATTAGAACAAGATTAATTAAAACCTGTAAGACACATTCGCGAAATATTTTATGCGCGAAATTGTACCTGTAAGACACATTCGCGAAATAATTTATTGATAATAGTGCCAGTCGGTACCTTTTACCCGAGTCTATGATTAGTTGAATAATCGTTCTTTATTTAGCGTCCGAGGACACGTTACCGGATAATTTATATATATTATATATTTATATATTTATAACTGGAACATAAGATTTAATTTCTGTCACCGATTATACCAGCATAGTTACATTTATCAAGAGAATATGAGTGCATAATCGAATAAAAAAATTCTAACCAAAATTGCGACATCATTGATTAATGCGCATCGGAAAATTCATCGCGAACGATATAATCGAAACATTGCTTAATATATCGGATTAATAATGCATGCAAAAAGATTGTAATCATATGAATTTCTATGAACAAATTACGATTCATGATGGCTCTATTTTTCAATCTTTTTAACGATTAATTAAATCTCCTATTTACATCTTTGCACACGAATATATTGCATATTTCTGCAACAATTTTTATTATTCTATCCTATTATTCTATCCTATTCTATATCTTAAAAAATCAAAGATTTAAACTGATTTTTACTGAATGCTTTAGATTTCTGAAAGCCTTATATATATGAAATATATACGTCATAATAGAAATTTTATTAAATTCTATTTTATTTCTGGACAAATGAAGCGATGTTTGAAATTATGCTATGGTTGAAATTATTATTATTGAAGTATGTAATTATTAATTATTTATTATTATTCAAGTATGTAAATAGAGAATATCTTTCTACTTTCTCCATACGCATCTAATTGAATTTTCGTTTAAATTTGCTTACTTGTCATTCTATCTTTCCGTTTGATAAATTTTTAAAAAATATTCTTATCCTTTATCGGAAAATTCGACATTCTCCTTTATGTATCATTGGTAAAGTACACTCTATTATTTAGAATTAAGGATCGTCGTACTGATTGGTACGGTGGCTGCGGTATTGCAATTACGCAAAGACGCATAGGCAATGAAATACAAACAATGCTTTCTTAACACAAGTACATCGGGCGTCGCGCGCGCAGAAATGCACCTTCACTCGTAAACAATAATAACAATATATTTGTGTCCGCGGCACACGTTAAAGATGCACACGTGCGTAGTCATCCCTTTCGCTCGTCTATATACTCGTGTATCTATACGAGTGCACATGCAGTTGATGGCATATTGGCGCTGACTCGTATTCCTACAATTGCAACATATGCGTGACTTGCTAAGTAGCTAGAAAATTATTATCGAAGGAAAATCGCTTTAGTCTCTCGTAAATTATTGTTCCAAAAATAGAATTGGACATGCCCCTCCTCCTCCCGCGTGAATTAAAGAAAATTCAAGCGCCGCTGGTGTCATTTACAGGACTCTGTGTGTGTGTGTGTGTGTGTGTGTGTGTGTACGCGCGACACACACACAACGCGACGAGCCGCATTCCACGAGTGGAACAACCGGTACACACCACGTTTCAGTGGCTCTCATCCGGAGAGTCGACAGGCGGTGTCGCCTCCCGACACGAGGAACGTTATGCAATGGACCAAGAAGTCAGTGGCCCGGCAAATTCGCGGAAGATGAGACGGCCCTTCCGGGTCTACTCCATTCTTATTTTTCTCTTCCCTTTTTCTCGCGTTCGTCCCACTCCGATGCGT